TCATTCACTTATAAATCAAGCCCAACGTAGCTAACGTGCGTTGTACGGACACTAATTAAAAAAAACACAGAAAAATCTCTGCAAGCTATAGCTAGCTGATAAAAATCTTTTTGATCTGGCTTGCACTTGATTAATAAAAAATTAATATATGATGGGTTATTTTTTAGACAATGTACGGAATAATTAAATTATTTATTTAAAAAGTTGGCGAGTTTGCTAACTTTTGATTAAATAGTAACTTGAAAATTAGTGAAAAAAGCAAATACATTTAATTAAAAAATAACACACAAACATAAATAAATAATTTATAAATAAAGATACAACTAATGGCCACAAAGTTTAGTTGAAATAACTAATTATTTAACATTTTAACGCAATTTTTAATTTTTAACAGTTTATTTAAAATTAAATATTGTAATTTTAACAAATAAAACAATTATCTGTGAAATAAATTAAGTTGCTAAGTTCACTTTTAAATTAGCGTAAAACTAGACACCTGAGCCATTTTTTTGGATTTCATTCAGCAATCTATTAATTCATCATCACTGTTTGTTAATTCCGAAAAGGAGTTCGTTGTAATTCATTCAAAGACAGCGTTTTTATTGATTAAATTATAAAATTTGCGACATAATAAATAATTAAATTAATAACTATTTAACTATCTTATTATTCTTACAATCTTACTTAATAATAGTTGATCTTCATATTATAATATAACTCATATATAATTCATATAACTTTTAGTTTAGTATTTACTAAGTAATAAGTTAGATTATTTAGTAGTTGAAGAGTTTAGTAAGCTTAGTTCAGCTTCAGAGTAGATTTTGTTTGATTGGTTTGTTTTATTTTGTTTTGTTTCTTTCCTGTTTATTTCTGTAATAATGGTTTTAAGATGAAAATTAAATTATTTAAACATAAAGTTTAATTAATTTATTTTAATTTCACCTTAAAATCTTTAGTTTATAAAAGTTTAATAATTAAATCTAAAGGGGATACACCTCAATCTCAATCAATTTGATAATTATCACTCAATCAATTATCACTCAATCAATTATCGCTCAATTCATTTTTTAGTAAAGACTTAAATAGCTAAGTAAGTGAATAAAAGTAAATCTTTCTGGTAATTTTTAATTTTAGTTTGCTAATATAACATTACATACACGTAAGGAAGATTTTGAAAAAATTTAATCTAGTCATCACACATAGAGTAGATTCAGCATATCACACATACAGTACTTACCAGTGAGTCATTCACTTACTGTTACTCATTGGTTTTTTTCATTTGAGTGTTACTTTCAAGTTAACTATTATTACTTTATAATGTTTTTCTAAATGGTACCATGTACACATGTATACAAAATGCAAACATAAATATAATATATATATATATACCAACTATGATATATTTATATAGTGTCGGGTATGTTGTGCAATATGTACTATACAATACATACACATTATATACACATGAATATGATATATATATATAAACTTACTGGACCAAAAATTTGGGCTGAACTGCTTCTTCCTCAGTTACATGAAATCAAAAGTATACAACTCTTTAAAAGGAAGCTACGTAACTTTTTAACAAACTTAGATCCCGACACCACCATCTAGTTATCTGGGAAAGCATGTTCATGTAAGCATTGTGTGTGTCTAAGTGTGTGCGAATGTGGTTGCTTGTGTGAGTGTGTGTGAATGAGTGCTGTGCTTGTGTGAGTATGTGTGAATGAGTGCTGTGCTTCTGTGAGTGTGTGAATGAGTGCTGTGCTTGTGTGAGTGTGTGTTAATGAGTGCTGTGCTTGTGTGAGTGTGTGTGAATGAGTGCTGTGCTTGTGTGAGTGTGTGTGGATGAACAGGTGTGTGTTTACGTGAGTGTTTTTGTGCGCGTGAGTGAGTGTATGTGCTTCTGGCGTGGTATTTCTATAAGATAAGATTCAAAATTTAGAAGTTAGTCAAAGTGTTATTAAATTTTAAACTTCAAAACAATTTTGAAGTATTGAAATATCTATAACCTACATTATATTGTGTTTAGGTATATTGAACTTTTTTTTTTTGAATTATGTTTAATATTTCAGAACAGTTTTGAAATATTAGAATTACTCTTTATAATATGTTTGAGTACCTTGAATTCTTTTATTTGTTTAAAGCTACTCATTTATCATTATTACAAATTTACACTGGTGATCAGTACAAGAAGTCCAGATTTCTTTTTCGATTTCCAGATCATTTCCTTTCATTGATTTCATTTTTCTGATTTCATTGTTTGATTTGATGAAATAAAATGTCAAAATGTCAAAAATGTCAAAATATATATATATATATATATATATATATATATATATATATATATATATATATATATATATATATATATATGTAATGTGTAAGTTCAAGTACAGTTCATACATTACATCAAATAGTAACATATACATACACACACATACATACATACACACATATATATGCAAAATGATCAGCGTCAGATCAGGCGACAGCAGGGAACTGTTTTTCGCAACTAACCACATTTCGTGCTTGTTGCAGCGGTTCCTGCGTGTCTGTGTGCTTGAAAATATCCAACTGAATGCCGACATGTGCAATTAACGACAAATCAAAGTGTTAATCCATTTGTTACTTGATGTTTGACGGTTCAGTGTCACTCATCATGTTTTGGTTTTAACATACACACATATATATATATACATACATACATACATACAAACACTTTATTCATGATACAATAAACACATTATGTCACTAGTCACATTATGTCACTATTACTAGTACTCTAATTTGTATCATGTACACACATGTACATACAAAATACATATACACACACATACATATACACACACATACATACACACATACAATATATATGTACATATCTGTGGTATTTAATATGCTAGTATTCATAACTAAGTATTGTATATATTTTTAACATTTTGTAGTTTACAGCCTTGTTTATTAATAACCTGGCTTTCACTGCATGGTTATTTCACCATTATTAATTAGTAAATGGGATTTCCGAAAAGCCTTTTGTAATTTTTGTTTTATAATTACTTAATAATTTTTTAGCCATATAAATATGATTACTGTTACTGTTTCTCATACTTTATATAATAATAATTAAATGAAGGTCTAATGTTTTTAGAGTTGGTGATATTACAATTACAAAAGAACTTAAATTCAGAAGGAGAAGATTAATTTATTTGGCTAACTTTTATTCAGCAAATAAAAAAAAATTATGGCCAGTGTTCATCCAGCATCTGATCACGCCCCGCAGCCATTGGGCAATAGAAATAAGAGGAGGAAGAACCGAAACCAAAGACCACAAACAATTTCGTATGTCAATAAAGAAGCCGAAGAAGTGTTTGATTTATTTTGCTCGAAGCAAAAACCCAACAGTGCTCCGAATAGTTTCTCCTCTCAGGTCAGGCACACTACAACGTTGAAAGATAGACAAAAAATTTTGGACTATCTCCATGGAGGAAACGTGGAGAGAGATAAGGAGGTGGATTCAGAGAGAGATGATGAGGCCAAAATTGAAGAGCTGAACAAGAGAAAGAAAAAAAATTTGCTGAAGAGACTGAAGGAAAGGCTTATTTCACTAAATAAGAGGCAGCCGATAAAACCATTCAGAGAGAAGGATGTCAGTGCTGATGGCAAAAATAAAAAGATAAAATCATTTTTTCAATCGTTCAGGAAAAAAAAGAATAAAGGTTATTATTGTTTATTGAAAAAATTTTCATTATAATAATGATTAATTTTTTACCAAATTAATTCCATATTTCACAAATTAATCATATTATTTTTTATTTCCTTTTATTGTAGCACCAAATGAAATCCAGCAAAACATGATGGCCGTGCAGGATGATATGAGAATGCATAGCAAATCATCAACCGATGATTTCTTGGAACCTGGAACACCCATCATGCTAGTATCAGATTCTCCACCACGGCTGTCTCCCACCTCATCACCCGGGAAGAACCTCAGAGTGTCCAGAGGTGTTCATTCGGGATTTCAGTGTGACGGTGATGAAAATGGTTTAGATTTTGTTTCTTTATATTTTGATGTTGTTACAGATTCTTTTTTTGTTTGTTTGTGTTTCGTATCTAATTATCCATCTCCTTCAATTATGCTTCATTTGTGTTGATTTGGGTCGTGTACTAAGTTGTTCACTTTTTTTTCTTTTTAAAATGTTCTCACGCCAAAAGCCAGTTGATAAGGCCCATGTCCACGTATTAAAAAATCAATTATGAATTGTAGCTTAATTTCATTATTTAAATATAGAAATGTAGATGTGAATTTCATTTTAAATGTGAGTTTTTTTTTAAAAAAAAAAGATACTAACTTACACTAACATACCTAAGAAAACACCTAGCAATAGCATTTACATTATGAGAAAAATGGTTACAAAAAGGCACATCAGTGGATAAATTGTCGAAGAGGTTCGACTGGACAGTCGTGGTGTCGGAGGGGGCCAGTAGTAGGGATGTGCTCGAAGAGGAAAAAGTTGAGGTGGAGAAGAGTGACAAATCGCAAGTCTATGAAGATGTCGCTGAGAGGCTGAAGAAAATTTCAGAGGAGGCCCTTAAATGTTTGTACCATTTACACTGTGTTTTTGCTCTCTACTGATGCTTATGTTCTAGGTCTTTTTATTATATTATATTATAATTATAAATTATTATTTATATTCTAAATTATATTTTTATTTACTTAATTATTTATTTTCTTATTTTTTTTTAAATCTAGAAAATTACAATTTAATTAATTTCGCTATTTAATATCCTTTTAATATTTTTGACAGTGCATGGATCTTCGAATTCAGTTAGTGCCTATTTTAAAACTTTTTCTTCTTCTTCCTATTATTATTATTATTATTGTTATTATGGTAATTATTATCATAATTATTATTATTATTTTTTTTTGCTATTGTTGTCGTTTTTATATATTCATCATCATCTCCATTTTGGTTTTTCCATATCTAGTCTCCTCACATTTTTAACATATTTTTTTCCTCATAAATTGGAGATTACATTCATCATTTCACATTCTTTATGATAGCATAATTACCTACATGATCACCTACATAATCATAATGATTCAAATTAGCTTATTCGGTAAAATTGACTAACAAATGATCTTTACAATCCTAACAAATTAACAATCATCTTAACTAGGGATGCACCGAAGTTCGGCCCCGGCCAAAATCCGGCTTTTTTTTCAAATCCGGCCGGATTTGGTGGCCGGATTTAAGCGTCTATCAACTTTTAAAAATGTTATAAATAGAAAAAAAAATTTTATTGAATTCAATTAATTTTATGTCAATAAGTTAAAGGCTAAGGCTAAGCTAAAGGCATACATGACACATAATAACAACATCACCAATTGTGAGGTAATCTGGACAATTTTCTTTATGCTATAACATGGGTTATGCATAAATTATAAGCTGATCTTTGTGTAAAAGAACTTGTGCACGTGTATATACTATATATTGATAATTGCATATAACGGATCATATAGCTACATGATATATATATATATATATATATATATATATATATATATATATAGAGAGAGAGAGAGAGAGAGAGAGAGAGATACATAAGCACATAATTTAAGAGAAGTTAGGCTAGGTATACATGACACATAATTACAACATCACTAATTGTGCAGTGAGCTGGACAATTTTCTTTGTGCTTCAACTTGGGTTATGCAAATATGCATAAATTATAAGCTAATCTTTGTGTACAGAATTTGGCGTTTCATACAACTTATTCATATATTTGAATTAAATAACATGTTCAACATGTAGATAACCGTAAATGTGAGTATTTTTTCTAACTTATGTAAAATGGTAACTGAAATCCGGCCCCGGCTCCGGCCGGTTTTTGAATTTTAAATCCGGCCAAGTCCGGCCCCGGCCGGATTTGAAAAACCTAAATCCGGTGCATCCCTAATTTTAACGTTCATCATCATCATCAACATGATCGACAACTTTTCCATGATCAGCTGACTGACCTAGTTTGTCAAGTGACCCAGAATCTGGCCTATCAGCATTTCAGCAATGGCGTCAACCAGTTCATCAGACAATTCAACGACCCGATTACGATTCAAGTAGCCCTGACATTCGCCATCACCGAAAGGGCCATGAATTATGTGGGGTTTAATTCTAGGAATGCCCATATTATCAGGAACCATTTCTACAGGTTTGTCACTTCAACTGTCCTTGTTTTGTTCCTCTTAACTTCCATTTCTCCCATCTTATTATTTCATCATACATACCACGATGACAACATTCTCGAGGTTAACAATATTAATAATAACTATAATAACAACATAATTAATAATAATAATAATAAGAGTCGTTTTTTTAAAACTTATATATATTATTTTCCTCCTCGATGTTTTGTTCCAGATACTTTGGGATGAATTTTGCTCCACAGCTGGCAGAGGAGGGAGGATTGGTCAGTTCAGTTTTTTTTTTTAATATTTTTTACCTAAATGATATTAATATTATTCATTATAATTATATTTATTATTTTATTATTTTATTTTATTCTTACTTAAATGTTATTAATGTTAATTATTATGATGGTATTTTTCCCCTGACAATGTTGTTTGTTTTTAAATAAGTTTCCAGGATTTTAGTCGTTTTGTTGTGTGGTGGCTTTAAACATTAGTTTGCATCTGTGTGAAAATATATTAACTCACACAAATTATATTTATTTTTGGTTTGAACTTTGAAATTACACACACACACACACACACACACACACATATATATATATATATATATATATATATATATATATATATATATATATATATATATATATATATATATATATATATATTGTAATGTTGTTATCGTTATTACTATTGTTGTCGTTACCAGTATTGTTATTAAGTTATATCATGTTATTTTTGATATGCAATTATCATTTTTTTTTATTGCATTGCAGACACAACTTGTTGAAGAAATAGACATTGATCCCTGAGAAAGAAAACGATGCGAGTGACAGAGAATGAATGAGTGAATGAATTAATGAGTGGATGAATTAATGAATGAATAAATGATTGATTGATTGATTGATTGATTGATTGATTGATTGATTGATTGATTGATTGATTGATTGATTGATTGATTGATTGATTGATTGATTGATTAAATGAATGTCCGATTGAACGCATGAATTAATGAATGAATGAATGGGTGGGTGGATGAAAAGAATAAGTATGTAGAAATTGATTTGTGAATATAACATTTTTTTACCAACTCACCAAAAACATAACTCAGTTATTTATTGTAAGATGAAAAGAACGGTACAGACAGCATTAGAAATTGATTTTCTTGCGTACATCTACGTACTCTCTTTTCCTCTTGTTATTTAATGTTCTACCTTCTTATTGCTTTACAACAACAAAATTTTTTTTCATGTTTATAGTCAGTAATTGTCAGCAAGATAGATTAATTCATTATTATTATTCATTCGTATTCCCAAGTGCGTTTTCATAATAACTTAATAATTGCATACGAAACTTAACACAAATTTGTTCACAGTTGTTTCACCACTATTTGTTATATATTTTGTAACGTTTTAATAATTCGAATGTGTTTATAGGATCAATCTGCTATTTTTCTATATCTTTATAGATGATAAGATTGCAAAATTATCTCTATTATATTATATTGTGATCATCGTCATCATCATTCATATGATTTCAATTTAATGCTATTTTTGACTGCTAAATTTTTTATAAACACTGTGATATACGCAGGGTTTTGTCTTGATTTTTTCTCCTTTCCTATCTTTCTTTCTTTCTCTCCCTCTCTCTCTCTCTCTCTCTCTCTCTCTCTCTCTCTCTCTCTCTCTCTCTCTCTCAAATTAATATACTACCTTGCCTTAATTTCGTCCAATATATAATTTATGTGTCCATATCACTAATTGTTATTTTTATATTTGTTATATATAAATACATATGTACGTTTAGGACAATGCTGTGTTCAAACCCGTACACATACACACACGCGCGCGCACATACACACACACGTTTATGTGTTTATAACTGCATGTGTAGACATGCAATGTTTATCTGCTCATTTAACCAGTGTATAAATAATATTGTTTATATTTTTTACGTTTTGCTTAGACAAAAAATTATAAAATCACCTCAGTTATCTTGTCTCACCAAAAAAAATTATGATTTGCCTTGAAAAAAGTTTCGGATGAATGTTAACATCATTTGAATTGTCATCGGAAGAATTTGATGATGAGGAGGAGGAGGATGTGAGGGAGATGATGATGTTTATAAGGAGGAGGAGGATGACGATGATGGTGGTGGGTGGTGATAGCAATGGTAATGTAGAACAAGATGTAATGTTCAGTTCTCCGATTTTTCTCTACAAAATTTTGTTCACAGCCATGTTTTTTTTATCAGCCTCAATTAATTTTTTCCCAACTTTTTTTTCATTTCATACTTCCTAGGATTATTTTGGCAATCATTATCTAGGTATTTTAAATGTGTATTTCTCCTTGTGACTCAGTGTTATTATGATGGTACATTTTGATGTATTGTACCAGTACCTGCGATATTTGTATTGATATTTGTATTTCTGCTGTCAGTTTTTTATTAGTATTCAGTTTTATATTCTGTGTGCGTGTGTGTGTGTGTGTGTGTGTGTTTAATTATTATCAGATTGTTTCTACTTGTCGGTTTTTGTAATTTATTTGCGTGACCAATAACATCGTAGAAATTTTATTTATAGAGAAGTAAATGTTCATAAAATTTTTCAAGGTAGTCAATAATCATTTTTTACGAAATTTTGAAATTTGGTTGAGTGTCTGTGTTTGTATCTGTGATTTTATATGCCTTTTCATTAGCATTTTAATATTTGCCTCTGTGGTGTTTGTTGGATGACGATTTGATTGGGAGCGGTTTAGCTCAAAATGCATCTCACAGTTTCATAATATTTCTTGCGAATTGTTAATAAATAATTTTTGTTAAATTATTTAAATGTTAAACGAGTGACGCAATCAAATTTAATATTTGAAATGTCCCACGAACTTTCCATTTAAATTTTCATCTCACACTCCACGCATGACAACACTTGATTTCTAAATTAATTTTTTAATTATTTCTCGTTTTTTGTCCTTTTTTGTAATTTTAATATGTTTTTCTTTCTTTCCGTGGTATGCGTATATTATTGTACTAGTTGTGTATATAGCATTCAGTTTCATGGTCAGTATGATAGTCACAGTTACAAAATACCTGCGTCTGAGACTACTACTCCTTTGCTATTAATTCCTTATTTTATGTTTTGTTTTTAATTTGTAATTTAAATTAATTAAAGTTGAAAATAAATTTTAAAATGACGCTCCGTTTATTTTATTCCAGCTGGATCGATTCTATAGAATTCTGATTTTGGCCTCTTTTAAATTTACAGAATTGCAAAACATACATACATAAATACATACGTATGTACGTACATATGTACATACAGGTGCACATACATATGTACGTACATACATGCATAAATACAGAAAATTGAGTGCCTTTTAATCGTTCTGAGTAGATTGCAGTCTGAACATCTAGCACAAATTTGTATGCCTGATGCTATCTAGGCAGCATTAAACAACAAAAAAATGACAACGAAATAGTTTTGCTAGAAACGCATCCAAATAAAACTTTCTTTATTACACTTGAATCAAAATTCTCTTCATTACATTTACTAATCAAATGGAACATATAAAATAAATGCATTCAATCATCCACATTGTCTGTCTATACGTTCCCATCTGGTGCTAAATTTACTGCTATTTAATCGCCTTTGTATAAAATTCTTATCAATCCATCAAACGAGAAATACTGAAATACGTGTGTATGTGCACACGAGGTGAGTGTTTGAAAAAAATAGAGAGAGAGAGAAATTAGGAAGAGAGAAAAAGATAAAAACATTAGCAAACAGTCTTACAGGTAATAACCACTAAGAGAATGGGCATGTTCCAATTTAGAAATAATAAGTTCTTACAGAGAATATAATCTTATAATGTTTTCAATTAACTCAAAGCGTCGATTCCACACTGTGGTTATGTGTTGTGAATTTACATTCTTTTTTTAGATCATGAGTGCATGAATGCAGTGGCTAGATCCAGCTCTTCATCCTCCTAAATTCGCCACTACATGCATGCATGATGGTTTTTCATTTGATCATAAGCACTGAATTATGTGATGGTGTCAGTGAATAGTGTCAAAAACAGGTCAGTATACGTGTAAAAAACGAACGTTTGAAATTGAAAGAACAAAATTTCCTTTCAATTAAGACAATTTCGGTGTGCGATTATCGAGTTAATTCACAAATCGAACTTTTAATTAATGATCACAAATAAGTAAAAAATTTTTAGAAGAATGTTTACCCAAATTGTTTATACAAATTTCACAAAACATAAGTTATAAATTTGATAGCTGAAGATAAACAAATAAACATGAAACTATAAAATAAGAGTTTATTAACATATAAAATTGAATTAAGTTAATTAGATCATTGGGTACGGGAAAGTATTAATAAATTAGGTTATGCTGGAGAGTTTATGAACAGCGGATGGTAACATGAAATGAAGATTGGGTAAAGTTGTCAAAAGTCTACATCAAAAAACTCTTAAACGTCTATAATACTTTAATTGGATTAAGACTGCCAGAAATGCAATCGTTGATTAAAATCACGACATGTTTGGCGTTAGTTAGCTTCCTATTTAATTTTTCAGTTTCGAGTTCATAATCAAAATTTTTATTGTATATGTAGTTATGTAGTAGACACAGTATATGTATACTTGAGCATTTGACAACATACAGAACATATCTATTCGAACATCGAAGATGGTATAGGAATACCGAAAAAAGCTTTTCTGTTCTATCACGCTTAAAACTAAAGAAACTTTACAATGATTTGCGATCTACCGTTAGAAAAATTGAACAATTAATTAGGAAGCTAACCAACGCGGAGAATGCTATGATTTTCATCAATAATTGCAACACCTTATATTATAAATGCATATTACATTGAGTAACATATTGAGTGAAATAAATTTAAAAAATTGATAGAATTAAAAAATTGAAAACAGATGATTTACCATAAATTTTAACATTGTTTTAATGGAAAATTTTACCAAAACTTTTTAACAGATCAATACGAGAACGTGTAGCATAACATAAACATATTAAACAGAAACGAGTATAAACATATAACATGAGGTATATAGTGTATGAAATTCTGGCCATCAATCACAGAAAAAATAAAAATGCATTCATGTACTTGTGGCATGCGACTCGACTGTTTAGACGATTTCTGCACCGACCAATCTATTTGATTGTAATACTGAGCTTGTAGATTTTGCATTGGTTGATACTTTGCTGAAAGAATTCTTTTTATAAATGCGAGGTCTATTGCAGTTTTCATTGCTTTTGCCTGGACAAAACTTTTTAAAAAATTTAGTCCACAATTGTACGGTTTTTGGGGACCAGACCCAAATTCCACTGGCTGTTCCAATAACGAGTGACATGAAAATTTTTAAAACTTTCACCTCAACGGCTGGAATGGATTTTTCTAGAGAGCAATCAACTAATTGTTGATGGTTCAGTGAGTCGTCGAATTTGTAACAGGGAGTCAAATATGCTGCTGCCCTCCAATCACGGAAGTTCAACCACTCGAAAAACAAGCAGCCAACCACGCAAATATCTGGTAGTGTATAAAGGATGGAAAATATTCCGATTTTCATCATCAATTTTTCAAATTTTTTAACGTCCAAGCAACCATCCGATACTAAATCCTGCCTAATTCGAAACATGGCAACAAACCCGCCAATAATGAAATAAACTCCAATGATGAGAAAAACCATATTGGGGAAAAGGACAAATGTTAACAAAGAGTCCATATCTTGGTTGCCGACGAAGCAGAGACCGGTCAACTCGTCACCATCCAACCTGCGCATGGTCAGTACAATTGTCGTCAGAACAGCAGGCAACGTCCAGGATATTACGTGGAAATAATTGTTTGCTTTCTGCAGGGCTTCACGACTCCATTTCTTTGCGGCAGAAAAGTAAAAGGTCGAGGTGAGAATGACCCACCATATGCATCCGGCCATGTTGAAGTAATATAGAATGAGAAAGACCACCACACACCACGTATTTTCCAATCCTTCTTGAATTACGTAACTAACTTGATGACGAGATTCTATGCAAGAAACGTCACTCAACCCTCTTGCAAACCGTATTATATAACCACAGGAATACACCAAGCAGCACATGGATAAGTAAATAATTGGTCTCTCTGGATACTCAAATCGTGTGGTGTCCAAAATGAAAGTCAGGAAAGTAAACAACGTGGAAACCAAGCACAATACTGCCCACAGTATCATCCAAATTTCGGCAAATTTCTTATCGGTGAACCTGTACATGACATCAACTTGACATCGCGGAGCACAGGTGTCATTACTCATTCCTCTGATCATTATCTCCACATTTGTGTATCTAGGTGGACATTTAAAATCCTTCTCTGATGATATCTTGTAAATTGACGGACTGTCAGCAGATATTTGTCTGAGTGATCTAACAGTTGTTGTTGTTGTTGAACTTAAGCGCGGTTTTAACAAATCGTACAAATTGAATATGCTATCTTTATCATCGTTGTCGTCAAGAGAATCCAAATTGTTCACATTTGATGCAACTGCTTCATGTTGCTGTTGCTGTTTTGTTTTGATGTTGTTGTTGGCGTTGATCAGGTTATTGTTGTTAACGTACTTCCGCTTACCTACATCATAGTCAACTTTATCGTGGTAGCCAAGAGGAGGTTCGATACAGAGATTGGAATAACGATCGTTCTTTTCCGGCAACTTGCCACAGTCAAGAACATCTGGCCATTTGAGACTGACTTGGTGAAGAATTGGTTCACAATTTTCCTTCACACCCAAACACATCGATCTACAGGGTGGAATGATCAGTGTTTCGTCAACTTGCTCAGTACAAAATGGAAAATAAACTGAACATAGAAAGAACTTCAACCATGGACTGCATTTTGTTCTGATGAGTGGCACGAATTCGTACATCTGCAACTCTGCATCTCTCTGGTTCGTCTGTTCTGCAATGTTTGGCATGATGGTGAGGTTGTAGTTGACGTCTGAGCAGAGCACCGTTTGTATTCGCTCGCATTTCTGTGGCTCGCCTTCGAACTGATAGCCAACTACAAATTCGACTTTGTTCGTGACGGTGATGATGGCAATCAGAGCAAATAAGATTGTGATAATTGTGCTTGGTTTTGAGAACATCTGCTGATGGTTGCGCTTACTGAATGACGATGTGAAGAGAGATGAGGATGATGAAATATCCATTGTTGTTTTGAGTGAAAAGACCTGTGGTAAATTTTTTGAAAATAACTTTTGAACTGATAAAATTATTAATTTCTTATTTATGAATGATATCGTAATTTAATTGTGACGCCAATAATATTTTATAACAAATTTGTATTACAAATAATTGTTGTTAGTATCATAAAATCGATGCTTTTCAAATTAGCAAGCAACCCAATTAAAACAAACCTCACAACATCCACACACACACACACACACACACACACACACACACACACACACACACACACACACACACACACACATAGCAATTAGAACTACTATCAGACTTGTTAAAACTTACAAATATTATAAAGGTACGTCTGATTTTATCCTAATATCCAATCTGAAAATTTTTCAACATGGAAAGTTTTATATCATATCCTCTATTCTATAACATTCTATTATTCAGCAACGAATGGGCAAAAAATAAAATCCAAACATCATCGCGGAGAACAGAAGTTTAAATGCAAATGTAATCAAGTTTCAATTTTAATTGCATTTATATACACCTATACATTGGTGTGCATGATGTATGTTTATATATAAGCACATATACATATATATATATGTATATATATTTATACATGTATGTATATATACTACATATATGAATTCCGCAACATCATTTATATAGGCTAAGAAACAAAGGGTTTTACACAAATTATATAATACACTAGATATACACACGTGCATGTGAGCTTATATACTTAAATGTATTTATATATGTGTGTGTGTGTACGTGTGTGTTTGTGTGTTTTTAGTTATTTATCATTCACATACCTACAGCCAATCTTACCACACAAGCTCATTTGACGAACGAATACTAATACATACACACACGTGAATATACAAATACACATATGTACATTGATGTTCATTTATTTATATGCAAATCTGTGAGCATAAACGTGTTTGTAATGTTTGTTTGTGAGCGTGTTGTAGTTGTGTTAGATAGGTTGTTAGCCCAAACAATTGAATGAATGAATGAACAACTCGATGAATAAATGAATGTAGGAATGAAGGTATGAATGAATTAATAAATGAATAAATGAACGATAGAACGTATGAAGGTATGAATGAATGATTGATGTGTCGACTGATCATGTTTATACCGCACTACATACATACATGTGTTCGTCCATTGAACGTGTGTAAGTTCGTGTGTGTTTTTGTGTATGTGTGTGTGTGTGTGTGTGTGTGTGTACATGCGTGTCTGTGTTATTATTATTATTGTTATTAATTTATTATTATTATTGTTATTATTTTATTATTATTTTTTACGATGATGGCGATAATAACGTTATAATGTTCGTAAAGAATTATTAATAAACCAGCTACGTTTATCATATTGTTACCAAAATGACCATCATAATTAACGTTTCCGTTATCTTCTATCACCATCATTACCATCACCGTAACCGATATCATCATTACCATTACTGTCGTCTTTATCATCATTATCAGCACATTACCATCATTGTTATCATCGTCGTCGTCGTCGTCATCATCATCATCGTCACCACCACCATCATTATCTTTGCCACCATCACCATCATCATCGTTAAATATAACAATAGACGAACATACTCACAAATGACGTCATTGTTATCATCATTCAATCATTACGAATGTTAGTCGGCCATTATATTATCAGACACATTTATGGCCAGAGAATCTGGGCTTTATTTAAATATGTTTCTTTAATTTTTTTTAATTATATTAAATTATTATTTAATATAATAATATAATTTTATATAATATAATTATTATATATTAACATTAAATTGACAATATTTTTTAAAATTTATTTGAAAATTATTTGTGTTGGTTTGTGTGTGTGTGTGTGTGTGTGTGTGCGTGTGTGTGGGCGCGTAGATGTGAGTTTACGTTTGTGTGTGTTTATAATAATAATCTTCATTGCAATAATTTTTTCTGTCTAAATTGATAAAGTACATTCTATTCATGTATGTTTGTTTGTTTGTGTGTGCGTGTGTGTGTGTGTGAGTAAATGTTTGTTTGTTTGTCTGTGTGAATGTGTGTGTTTGTTATGCTGGTAATCCAACGTTTGTTATTTTTGTAATCCTATGTGTATATATATGTGAGTCAATGTTTGTTTATGTGAGTGTGTGTGTTTGTTATGTTTATAATCCTATGTTCTATATCATTATTATGGTTACATAGTAACGAGGTTTTGTGGCGACGACAAATTGTCCGGGTTCAAAACCCAGGTGTAGCCAAATGCAAACATAAAACAAAATTAATGTTGCCTAAGAATTTAAGTTGGAGATTAGGTCCTGCGTTGGGTTTGCTGGTTGAAAGTTCAGTAAGTTGGTCAGAGACGTTTATAGGTGCCTGGGGTGTGATTTCTTATATGTGTGTCTTGTATTGTGTTCGTGTGTTTTTGTGTGTGTGTGGTGTATTTTTGTATGTGTGTGCGCGTGTGTGTTGACTGTACGTGTGTTTATGTGTTTCTGTGGTGTCTATTTGTGTGTTTTGTATGTGTTTGTGTGATTTAATATTTAATCAATATATTACAAGTGTGTTTAAAATTTCATTGCAAATAAAATGTTTTATGCTCGTTAAACAGTTGTTATAGTTGTAAGCACATAAACACAAAAATTTATTTCATAAATTTGAAATGAAATGATCTATTCTGGTAAAGAAGAGATAAACCCCCTCGTTACGCAAGTAAAAGCATGCTGTGTTAGCATATGGTTGTTTGATATCAGTTTTTTGCTTGTTAGTTGTTGTTGTTGTTAGTTGTTGTTGTTTGTGTCAGTGTTTCTGTTTGATTTGGTTGTTTATTTAGCCTATTGTTGTTTGATGTCGGTTTGTTAGTTGTTGCTTGTTTGTGTGCTCGTGTTATTTCTAAGCAGTTTGTTTATTATTCATATCCTTAAGCCTTATTATAATTGTTACTACTGCTACTAATACTGCTGCTACTGCTGCTACTACTACTACTACTACTACTACTCCAACAACAACAACAACAACAACTACTACTACTACTACTACTACTACTACTACTACTACTACTACTACTACTACTGGTTCTTCTACTACTACCACTGCTGCTGCTGCTACTACTACTACTACTTCTACCTTCCACTACTACTATTACTGCTACTACTGATACTACTACTATCACCACTACTACCACTACTATCACTACTAATACCACTACTATTACTACTACTAACAATAATAATAATGACAACAATAATAACAACGCCAACAACAATAACAACAACAATAATAACAACAACAGTTATTTTAATTGAGTGATAGCGATAGCAAGGTATAGGGTTGATGCTGATAATGATGATGACAGGCCTGAATAAATTTAGGAAATTTCACTGACAACCGTAACGCAGCATGGATTTCATTATTATTCTTATTATTCTTTTTATTATTATTATTTTTTTTTTCTTCTTAGTATTATTATATTATTATTATCATAGTTGTAGTTATTCTTGCTTTATTTAAATTAATATTAAATCGTCATTGATGAGAATGAATACTGATAAAATAATAACTATAATATTTATATTTATATATTTAATTATAATTATTATTACTTTCATTAATAAATGTTAATAATACTCTTTTGTTACTATATTACTACTTCAATTACAACAGCTATATTCTCAAAGGGGTAAAACCAGCCGAAAGTGAGAGCGAAACTAAAGCCCTGCTTTTTCTACCTCTTCGTACATTGATTATTTTTGTCTGCATCTATGTTGGGTAAGTTATTTGTCCTCACCCACACATTGAACATTTTTTGCCCTACTTTATATTGGATAATATTGGTCCTCCTCCACATTATCCTGAATATCTTCGCCTGGAAGAATGGTCGAATTTAGTTAATTTAATCTTGATTTAATTCTGTTAAGAATGTAATGTTTCGATAGATTTGTATTAGAAAATAGTTCCTTTAGATATTTTTTAAAATGTAAAAAAATTTGAATTTTTTTTTAATTTATGGCTATACCACTGTGTAGTCAAATGATAGAAAGGATATTATGGTTATGTAACAAAAAAGTTTGCAAAATTGGTTATAATTGATAATTATAGCTGATGTCATTAATTATAATTGATATTATTAATTATAATTCATGTTATTAAGTATAATTTATGTTATTAAATATATTTAATTATAAAAAATAACAACAACAAAACTGTCATATCAGAAATAAACTGGCAGAAATTAAAAAAAATAATTGAATAACTTTGGAAAAAATCTAATGCTGCCGTTTAAAGATCAAAGGATTATTATTATTTAAACATTTGTTTGTCGGTATCGTATAAACACGTGTGTATGTGTTAGAGCCCAAAGCAGAGAAGATTTTTCTAAACTGCAACCACTTGCATCCGCAGAGTTCACATCCGCACCGCACCCGCGAAAAGACAACCTAAATCGACCGTCTGATATGATGAAGTGTGTCTAATAAAACTGTTAATTCGTCACAACGTTATCGATCAAAGAAATATAGAGAGTCGTAATTAGATACGGTTGTTTGTACGTTGAAAAAATCCAAAAAACGTTATCTGATGACACTCACTTAGGTAAAGGTTAATTTCTTTAATGGGTTTAATATTCATTTGAAACTTTTTATTTTATATCTGTTACTAAGCTTTTTTGAGAAATTTAAAAAAATAATTATTTATTTTGATTTAACATCGAATGGTTTTAGTTTATTTGGTTTTAGAAACAAATATTAACATATTTGTTTCTAAAATTAAAACAAATGTAAAAAAATATATATAAAATGCATATTCGTTTAATTAAAATTTATCCATAAACTTACAATGATATGATATTTACCAATTTATAAACTGGCTGGTCGGGTGGGTGGGCTGGTTAGTAGTGAGTGACATCTATCATATCAGCATACAGATGAAAACCTTGACCACATACATATATTCACAACGATAAGAGCTGAACTAAAGCACGTTAACCACTATCTTACTAGCAGAGTAGTTTAATATTGTCAAATTACTTTCGGCCTTTCAAGCCTCGACGAATTAAAAGCTATTTCATATATGATGTAAGACTCAGAAGCGCGCCAGCCAGTCTAATGATTTGAATGAATGTTTGTTTGTGGTTATCCACTTTTAAGAAACCCATTATGAATTAAAACCAGCTTATTTGGTAGAAAACGACTTCAAATAAACATTTTTTCAAAATATGAAAAATACTTTGCTATCTCTTCGGCTTAATTTGTATATTTTCAGCAAGCTTAAATTTGGATTTCATTCGTCAGATTCGGAAATATCGAACGATTTTTAAATAACCATATAAATTGAAATCATGAAACATTATTTACATTATTCTCACCTCTAATTAATAATTATGAGTTGTATTTATTCAACAAATAATTTTAAAGTTTATTCGTAAGATGATTATATCAGCTGCTATCTCGTACAATAGTATCCTTTGAGATTTATGCTAATACCTATATGTATAAACGAACGTTGTAATAGATTCCTTCCTGGGAATTTTTCTATTTATCAGCTTAAAGGATGTAAGTTTTTCATGCAATAATGTACAGATTAGTTTTCAAATCAACAGCTGTGCAACGGGTAGAACGTGCATTTGATTTAGCCAAAGTTTGCACAATCTAAAATTGTACTTTTCTAGTTTATTTCAGACTAATTGCCTTCAAAGCTAAATTAAGAGATGTGAGGGCATTGAGATGATTATTTATTTAAATAGTGATTTCCATTTTATTCAAAACTCGGTGACTAGAGGACTGTATGTAACTTGGTGTTCTGTCGGCAATCGGCATAGGACATGTGACTGTTTATTTTTGATCGATGGATTAAAGGGGTTACTGGAGATTGAAAAAACAATTTTTGGCAAGTTTTTTTAAGTTTCTCTACTACGTTTGCATGCAAGGACGCAGTTAGAGCATTAAAGAGTTGTTGGAATCTAGTTATCGATTCATTAAAACTTCGAACGAAACAAAAGTTCGTGTAATTGTTGTTCGATTTTTGTCAATGATTTGAAACGATTTGTAACATGAAAATATTGTTGTACGTTCGTACCTCGTGAATCTATCAAGCATTAAACTTTGTTCTTCATTAATCGGTGATCTTAAAGAAAAAAATATTTGATCGCTAGAGTATTTTCAATTGGATTGTATAAGTTTGTTGTATAGCGTTGCTTTTATAATAATGACATTAATATTATTTAAATTTACATTTTAATAATGATTTTGTTTGTAATTTTGTAAATTATTATATTATTGAAAAAACACCACAAATAGTTAATTTTAAATTACACATAAAAAAAATCCAACAATGCATCGTTGTTTTTTTGTCTATGCTCCCGTTGTTTACATTTGTTTTGCGTGTGGATTACGTAATAATGGCACGGGGCACCGTTTATTCGGGCGTAATGTTTTTAGTTGTTATTGGCTGCTTAGCTTGAGGACCATCCTTTACATTTGCCTGTGTACGCGTGTATTCGTGTTTTTTGTATTTGTAATTGTATAATTAATGTGTTGTATGTGTATTGTATATTATATCTATATGTTTTTCTATGTGTATGATCTGGAGATGTTCACAAGCATAAGTCGATTGCGTGGATGCAAGTTAGATTGTACAATCCGCCAGCTCAGCAGAGCACAAACTCAGCCACAGAAACATATCAAACATATAAGCAACAACATTAACAGCAACAACAGCAACAATAAAAGTCAAACATCCAGTTACAAATTATCCGCCCATTCTCTTTTTAAAACGTTAGACAATCCTGATAGTGATAAAAATATGTCTTCATTGAAACTTCATCAACAGAGATTTGATTACTTTTTAGTACTTGATTTTGAAGCAACCTGTGAGCAAAATGCCAAAATACAACCGCAGGTTGGGAAGTTTTTGAAAACTGTTGAGTCAATATTATATTATCCATATCCACATTTTCTTACTATAAGTTTTTTGTGTTATTTTAGATTTAAGAGAAGTTTTTAAATTATTTAAAAAATAGAATTATGAAAAATTGTTCAAAATTTTTGACAGGAGATCATAGAATTCCCTGTGTTAAAAGTTAACGGTACAACATGGGAGACAGAATCGATCTTTCATCAATATGTTCGACCTGTACACCACCCACGACTCACCACATTTTGTACCGAAGTGAGAACATCTAACAAAAATATGCAACATAACAAATAGTCAAATTAATAAACCTTTTCATTTTAATTGCTTAATTAGTTAACTGAATTTTTAACATGTAGCTCACTGGTATAATACAGAATCAAGTTGATGAACAGCCTGATTTCATTGAAACATTCAGGGTATTTTTAAATTAATTTTTGGAGTTAATTTAATAAATAATAATTTTTTTAACTATTTCATTGCTTTGTAATGATTTCAATTGAGTTATTAATAATTATAATTGTTAATCATTTGCCATTTGGAGAATTTAGCATGTTAAGTTGAAAATCATTTATATAGGTTTTTTGCATAAAGCTTATACGTTTTCCTAATAATGTATATAAGATGGCTTTTGTCATAAAGATATTTATTCACATTTAATATTTTCAGTTTAAAATAAATTTAATGGAAAAATTATTAATTAATATGAAAATCTTGAAAATAAGTCATCAATTTGAATGTTCATAGTTATTTGAAGATTGGATGCACAAAGAAAAATTGCTAGATGGCATGATGACCAGTGTATTTGTCACTTGTGGAGATTGGGATCTCAAAACTTGGTAATTTTTTTTAAAAACTTGTTAATGTAACGCTTCTTTATTTGATTTACAAATTTTGATTGATTAAATCTAAATGTCAATAAATAAATTAAATTTTGAATATTTTATTAATATTTCATACAAAAAAATTTCAATAACTTTTAAAAGCTCTAGTTTTTTTTCATTTTATTTTTATTATTTTATTGATATATGAAAAGAATATTTTGAATTAATAATTATTTACATTTTATGTTTCATTTTAAAACTCTTGGTTGGAAATATTAATAGCATGATTTATTATTCTACATTTAAATAACTTGATGACAATTAAAGTATTTATTTAAAATGCCACACTCAACATAAATATTTATCGTTTAATTATCATTTCTGTTCAATAACCTCATCAACATTACCGTCACATCATCATCACCCTTATAGCTAATTGCTTCTTATGATGAACTCACTCATTCACTCACTCACTCACTCACTCACTCACTCACTCACTCACTCACTCACTCACTCACTCACTCACTCACTCACTCACTCATTCACTCATTCATTCGTTCTTGCGTTCTTCCATCCTTCATACATTCATTCGTCATGCAATTCCGTCCTAAAAATTATTAAATTAAAATTATGAAAATATAAAATTTTAAAGAACAAATTCATTAGTTCATTCATCAGCCATTATTATTATCCATTCATTTGTTCATTAATTCATTTGTTCATTCATTCATTTGTTCGTTCATTCGTTTGTTCATTCATTTACTCATTCATTCATCATGTAAATACATTCTTCAAATTAATAAATTTGAATTCTGTAAAAATTCTAAAGTTTAAAAGAGCAGTGTCAGACAAGTGGTATCAGTATCCCAGCATACTTCAAACAATGGATCAACATCAAGAAGGCATGTCGACTTCAATTAATTATAATAATAATAATAATTAATTATAATATTAATAATAATAATTAATTATTTTATTAATAATAATCAATAATTAGATATTTTTTAATAATAATCAATAATTAATTCGTTCATCATTGCATGCAATAGTCTGGGATCTTTGCAACGATTCCTGGGCGAAAATAATTGATGACAAGACAATAATAGTACAGCAATAATAACGTTAAGACTGTTATTGTTGCAATATTGATGATGGCGTACCATCATTTCATACATACATACGTGTTTACAATGCAGCAAATTATAATTGCAGAAACTAGCGTAATATAATATGTAGTTATAACTATTGCTGTGTTAATCTAATTTACGATAAAATACAAGGCTATAGAATATGATACAATACCATGGCAAAATACAACACAATACCAATTATACGCAGCCATACAGTGATGTGATGGGTATGTACCCGAAAGGTATGATGTCCATGTTGAGTGCTCTTGGTCTGAAGCATGAAGGCAGGCATCATTCTGGTATTGGTGAGTAAGTGGGTGTGTGATTTATGTGGTTGTTAATGTTATTGTATGTAATGTGGTGCGATTTGGTTGTTGATGTTATTGCAATATGATTGTTAGTGTCATTGTAATGTGGTGTGATGCGATTGTTTATTGTAAGATGAGAATATCAGATGTAGTGTAATGGGATCCTATCGAATGTGTTGATAATCAGCTTGTTTGTTACAACTGCTAAGTTTAAATAAATATGTATACATATATATAAAAGGTTAAAGGTCTACTACACTCTTCCTAATATATATATATATATATATATATATATATATATATATATATATATATATATATATATACGTTAGCTTACAAGAGAAATACAAGCTTGTACTAGAACTAAGTATATGCAAATAGTTCGCCAACAGGTCCTTCAACCTGTCCCCACTCAGACTACGTTCAATTTTGCGTGCTGTTAAAAATTATTCTATATTTACATATGCATGTAGCGAGACTTATTTGTGAAAAACTTGGATGTAAAAACATGGGAACTCTTCTTTTTATTTTGATGAACTTAAGGGGCTTCGCATATCCGTTGCCGCGGGGTCTTTAGACCTCCAAATATTTATTTTAACCGACTTCATATTTGATGATTGAAGCAATATCGTTACGCAGTTATTTTCAAGTTATTATTAACTACCAAATATATTGGTAAAATGAGTTCTGCTTTTCATGTGGTGTCGGTCAAGAAAAACATGAATATATCGGCAATACCTTCAAATAAAGTACCTAAAATATAGAATAATTTTTAAAATTTGCACGTTCATGTATAAGTCTCAATCTAAATTATTTCCTAATTATTTATCAGATATATAAATTGAACCTAAACGTCCCTGTTTACGATCGTCTTCTTCTCGCTTTTTCTTAACTCGTGTTAAACACTCTTTTGCCAAATCTGCTTTTGCTTTTTCTGGTCCTTTTTTCTGGAACTCTCTACCTACTTCTCTGACTACTTCTCCATCACTTGCGAAGTTCAGAGCGGATCTCAGGACCCATCTGTTTTCAAAATTCATTGAGGAGCGCTGTTGAACATCGCGGAAATAGTGCTTTATAAGCTAATTTATTGATTGATTGAAATAGGTATCGTTGTCGGCAATACATTTGAAAGCCGATATAGGTATTAGCATTGCCAATACAATTTTTGGGTATTATTAGCAGAAATGTTAGCCGATTGATCAGTCAATTCATTTTATTAGTCATTAACCAACAGACAATTGAACAAGCATCGCTAGGATTGACGTAGGAATGAATAAATAATTGATTGAATATTGATATTGAAAATTGATTGAATAAATAAAGAATTGAATGGTAAATAGTTCGATCAATAAACTAATTAATTGTTGTCGACAGACGATTGCAAGAACATTGCCAGGATATTAGCATCACTTGCCAGGAAAGGGTATACATATATGCCGACGGCATCATCATATCAGATCTTGTAAAATACATTTTTTAAAGTTTGTTTTGTCTCATTGTTTTGAATGTAAAAAAAACGTTTAATTTTTAATTTATAGAATATTTAATTTATTTAAATAATGAAATAAAATAAAACCCATAAAAAATGAGCATAATTTTTATTTTTTTTTCAAAAAAAAAAAAAAAAAATTCAAATGATCTTACTAAATGTACAAAAAACAAATAATTATATTATTATTAATATGATCCAACACGTCATTACAAAAAGATTATAAATAAAAATAATTTATCTAAATCAACGTCTTTAAACTGAATTGGTTCAATTGTCTCCATATACAATATCATCATTATTATTATTACATAGCAATTTGAGCTGAATTTTACAGGTATGAAATATATATATATATATATATAGATATAATTATAATATTATAATATATAAACTATATATAATTATATTTATATATATATAATTAAGTTACGCACATATATATAATTATATATATATAATTAACTTTAAATAAAATGTGAATAAGTTGCAAGCAGTGGCAGAAGAAAAATGAGAATGTTGTGAAGATATAGGAAACAGTATCGTCGTCTGTATAGTATACAAATGTGTGTGTGTATATATAGATGTATGTATACATCTATATATTTACACACTCATATATACATACATATATACTAAGCGTCATAATCATGTTACCACCATCATAAGTTTTTCGTTTGATGACCATTACAAATGCTGTTATAATCAGTCTTATAATCAGTCTTATTACTGCTTGTTGATGTTACACACATATATAGGCATGCTGCATACACACACATACATACTTGCACATACAAACACACATACACACACACAAACAGACATAGAAATACTCGCACATTCTTACAAGTGTTACTACAGTTACAAGAAGGTATATAACGCAATTAACAACCATCTATGCATATTTCGTATTTCAAAAATATCAATGACATTTGACACGGCAAAAAAAACTGAATCGATACTACAAATAAAAAATTTATTATTTCTCTCAATAAAGTTCTTTCTGTATTTTGATTTCGCAATAATTATACAGTATAATACAATATAATAATAATAGAAATAATATAATAAATAATAATAATAATTAATACAACCTTAAGCTATCATCCATCAATCATCGTTCTGCAATCGTGGGAAGCATAAATAAACAAACCAAGAGGATTGTCACACATGAGTACGTGTATGTGTGTATATGTGTGTGTGTGTGTATGCATGTATATATGTGTGTCTGTGTGTGTACGTGCGTGTGTACAAGCAGATTATATGTACGCATGATCTCTTGAAAATACGTGTTTTATAATCTAGCGTTTTTTGTTAATAGCATATACACGATGAATTAATGGATATATATATATATATATATATATATATATATGTGTGTGTGTGTGTGTGTGTGTGTGTGTGTGTGTGTATGTATGTATGTATGTATTAATTAACAATTTGACAGAGTTTAATCAAACATTTAACAGCAATTCAAAATGTCTAGAATAATCTTAATAATAATAATAATTATAAAATATATGATCGCAGTCAATA